GAGAATTATTGGAGGTAATGAAGCAAATGGACTTAACAGACATCTACAGAACACTCCACCCAAATAGGAAAGAATATACCTTCTTCTCTGCAGCTCATGGAACCTTCTCAAAAATTGACCATATACTCGGAAACAAAGGAAACCTCCACAGATACAAAAGAATATCAGTGTCCACCTGTGTCTTATCAGATCACCACGGATTAAAGTTAGATGGCAACAACTATGCTACCCCCAGAAAGCCGACAAACTCATGGAAACTGAACAGTCAACTACTGAACCACACCTGGGTCAAGGAAGAAATTAAGAAAGAAATTAAAGTCTTCCTTGAATTTAATGAAAATAAAGAGACAACATACTCAAACCTATGGGACACGATGAAAGCAGTGCTAAGAGGAAAGTTCATAGCACTAAGTGCCCACTTAAAGAAAACAGAGAAAGCATACATTGGGGACTTAATGGCACACCTGAAAGCTTTAGAAAAAAAAGAAGCAGAGGTGCCCAGAAGGAGTAGAAGACTGGAAATAATCAAACTGAGGGCAGAAATCAACAAAATAGAAACACAGAAAACAGTCCAAAGAATCAATGAAACAAAAAGTTGGTTCTTGGAGAAAATCAACAAGATCGACAAACCCCTATCCAAACTAACTAAACAACAGAGAGAGAACACGCAAATAAATAAAATCAGAAATGAAAGGGGGGACATAACCACAGACACAGAGGAAATCCAGAGAATCATTAGATCTTACTATAAAAGCCTGTATGCCACAAAACTGGAAAATGCAAAAGAAATGGACATTTTTTTAGATAAGTACCATATACCAAAGCTAAACCAAGACCAGGTGAATGATCTAAATAGACCTGTTAGTCGCGAAGAACTAGAAACTGTTATCAAAAATCTCCCTTCCAAAAAAAGCCCAGGACCAGATGGGTTCAACGCAGAATTCTACCAGAACTTCCAAGAAGAGCTAATACCTATACTCCTTAACGTATTTCACAATATAGAAACAGAAAAGTCATTGCCAAATTCCTTTTATGAAGCTACAGTTACCCTGATACCAAAACCACACAAAGACCCAACCAAGAAAGAGAATTACAGGCCTATCTCACTCATGAATATCGACGCAAAAATTCTCAATAAAATACTGGCAAACCGAATTCAAGAACACATCAGAAAAATTATCCATTATGATCAAGTAGGCTTCATCCCAGAGATGCAGGGCTGGTTCAACATACGCAAATCTATCAATGTAATCCACCATATAAATAGACTGAAAGAAAAAAACCATATGATCATTTCATTAGATGCGGAAAAAGCATTCGACAAAATTCAACACCCCTTTATGATAAAGGTCTTGGAGAGAATAGGGATACAAGGGTCATACCTAAATATAATAAAAGCTATCTACAGCAAACCGACAGCTAACATTAAATTAAATGGAGAAAAACTCAAAGCCATCCCACTAAAATCAGGAACAAGACAAGGATGTCCACTCTCTCCATACCTCTTCAATATAGTGCTTGAAGTTCTAGCAATAGCAATAAGACAACATAAGGGGATCAAGGGGATTCGTATTGGAAAGGAAGAAGTTAAGCTTTCGTTATTTGCAGATGACATGATAGTATACATAAGCGACCCCAAAAATTCTACCAAAGAACTCCTACAGCTGATAAACACCTTTAGTAGCGTGGCTGGATACAAGATCAACTCCAAAAAATCAGTTGCCTTCCTATACACTAAGGATAAGGAAACAGAGAGGGAAATCACAGAAGCATCACCTTTCACGATAGCCACAAAGAGCATAAAATATCTTGGGGTAACCCTGACCAAGGAAGTGAAAGATCTATTTGACAAGAACTTCAAGTCTTTGAAGAAAGAAATAGAAGAGGACACCAGAAAATGGAAGGATCTCCCTTGCTCTTGGATTGGGAGGATCAACATAGTAAAAATGGCAATTCTACCAAAAGCAATCTATAGATTCAATGCAATCCCCATCAAAATCCCATCAAAATTCTTCACAGATCTGGAGAAGACAATAATCAACTTTATATGGAAAAACAAAAAACCCAGGATAGCCAAAACAATCTTATACAATAAAGGAACGTCTGGAGGCATTACCATCCCTGACTTCAAACTCTATTACAGAGCTACAGTATTGAAAACAGCTTGGTATTGGCATAAAAACAGAGAAGTCGACCAATGGAATCGAATAGAAGACCCTGACTTTAACCCACAAACATATGAACACCTGATTTTCGATAAAGGAGCTAAAAGTATACAATGGAAAAAAGAGAGCATCTTCAACAAATTGTGCTGGCAAAACTGGATGTCAATCTGTAGAAGAATGAAAATAGACCCATATCTATCACCATGCACAAAACTCAAGTCCAAGTGGGTGAAAGACCTCAATATCAGTCCAAACACACTGAACCTGATTGAAGAGAAAGTGGGAAGTACTCTAGAACACGTGGGCACAGGAGACCACTTCCTACGTATAACCCCAGCAGCACAGACAGTAAGGGCCTCATCGAATAAATGGGACCTCCTGAGACTGAGAAGCTTCTGTAAAGCAAAGGACACTGTCGCTAAGACAGAAAGGCAACCCACTGACTGGGAGAAGATCTTCACCAACCCCACAACTGACAAAGGTCTGATCTCCAAAATATATAAAGAACTCAAGAAACTAGACCGTAAAAGGCTAATCAACCCAATTATAAAATGGGGCACTGAGTTGAACAGAGATCTCTCAACAGAAGAAGTTCAAATGGCCAAAAGACACCTAAGGTCATGCTCAACTTCCTTAGCGATCAGGGAAATGCAAATCAAGACAACTTTAAGATACCATCTTACACCTGTCAGAATGGCAAAAATCAAAAACACCAATGATAGCCTTTGCTGGAGAGGTTGTGGAGAAAGGGGTACACTCATCCATTGCTGGTGGGAATGCAAACTTGTGCAACCACTCTGGAAAGCAGTGTGGAGGTTTCTCAGGAAATTTGGGATCAACCTACCCATGGACCCAGCAATACCACTCTTGGGAATATACCCAAGAGAGGCCTTATCACACAACAAAAGTATATGCTCTACTATGTTTATAGCAGCATTGTTTGTAATAGCCAGAACCTGGAAACAACCTAGATGCCCTTCAATTGAAGAATGGATGAAGAAAGTATGGAATATATACATATTAGAGTACTACTCAGCAGTAAAAAACAAGGACTTCTTGAAGTTTGCAGGCAAATGGATGGAAATAGAAAACACCATCCTGAGTGAGGTAAGCCAGACCCAAAAAGAGGAACATGGGATGTTCTCACTCATATTTGGTTTCTAGCCATAAATAAAGGACATTGAACCTATAATTCGGGTTCTTAGAGAAGCTAAATAAGAAGGAGAACCCAAAGAAAATCATATAGGCATCCTCCTGAATATTAAACTTCATCAGGCGATGAAAGGAGACAGAGACAGAGACCCACATTGGAGCACCGGACTGAAATCTCAAGGTCCAAATCAGGAGCAGAAGGAGAGAGAGCACAAGCAAGGAACTCAGGACCGCGAGGGGTGCACCCATACACTGAGACAATGGGGATGTTCTATCAGGAACTCACCAAGGCCAGCTGGCCTGGGTCTGAAAAAGCCTGGGTCAAAACTGGTCTCGCTGAACATAGCGGACAAGGAGGACTACTGAGACCTCAAGAACAATGGCAAAGGGTTTTTGATTCTACTGGACCTATTGGTTTCATGGGAGCCTAGGCAGTTTCGTGGATGCTCACCTTACTAGACCTGGATGGAGGTGGGTGGTCCTTGGACTTCCCACAGGGCAGAGAACCCTGATTGCTTTTTGGGCTGATGAGGGAGGGGGACTTGATTGGGGGAGGGGGAGGGAAAGGGGAGGCGGTGGTGGGGAAGAGACAGAAATCGTTAATAAATGAATAAATTAAAAAAAAGAATGCAACATGTAGAAGATACAGAAAAGGACTACTATGAATTGCTGACTGCAGGGCATGACACAGCCACTGCAAAGATTGGCTCGCGTCATCTGCACCAATTATGTCTAACACTGGGCCTGTTAATAGCCAGTGTGGGGCCACAGTCCTCCCCAATGAGCTACTGGCTCCTGAACAATTCTCATGAAGGCACAGTCATTCTTCTGAGTTATGGACCTAACTGCGAGATCACCATGCTCCAATGGGTTATTGTATACCTGTGTCCACACACGGTCCAGATTAAACTCAGCACATCGGAACCAAAACAAAAAGGCATACATGTGGGGAAAGGATGGTTGGGTGTCCCCAGAAGAGAGTAACAAGGAAGGGGGTGAGGTTAGGAAGATGCACTACACACAAGTATGACACCTGATTAATTAAATTTAATCAAGTAAATAAATGAGTTCTGTGCTCAGATTTACATGATTCTAGACTCTAACTTTCCTTCACAAGAAATCCCCCTTTCTCTTAGCATATTTTGCCCACATGCTGTAACCCTTGATGCCTCTTCTCATTCTATTTGCACTGGTATTAATCATACCAAGCCCCTTAGGAAAGATCCTGGCATGTCATGGGACTAGATCTGAACAAAGACATCACAGCTACATGAAGTGACAAAACCTGAATTCTTAGAGTTCTGTCTGGAAGTACTATTTGCAAAACAAATAAATCAAACAACAAAACCATTTAGGAATATAAAAATAAAAGCAAGCTTACTAAATACTCCTCAAACACAAACATAAAACAAACATATGCAAAAATAACGAATACCGCAAGAATGAAAAATTTCAAGCCCCAAATACTGCAAAGAAATTTGCAAAAGGCGGCTCATTTCAGGGAATGTATACTATTGGTTATATGCATTTCAGCAAAGGCATGTGAATGAGATTGGGGGCCTAGGCAGGACAAAGGACATCATTAAACACAAACCAATAACATTTGCTAAATACAAACTGTAAAATATCATATGTCAGTTATCTGAGCAAAGATATGCATCACTATTTAGCTACGGTACCAACTTACCTTCGAGGATGATTGGCATCAAACAATGTGTTGTCATCATCCTCATCATCTTGTTCTAAAGGTGTCAATTCCATGTTTTCTATGTTAGTGTCCAAAACTCCATATCTCCTAGTTTTACGGTTTCTTCTTCTCATTCTATTAAAAAGAACAAATAAATTAATATAATTATTTTAATATAGCCTAATCATCACCTCAAATGTAGTTGTAAATTAAAGAAATTAGTCCATGTTTCCTCCTAAGCACACACTCAGTACAAAAATGATTACAATCAGGAGTATAAAAACAATCAATTTAGCACCAAAGATCATAGGTAGTTCATTAAATAAATCTATTCCGATATATCTGTATGGCAACATTGCTCCTGTCTACTCTTTTCACCCTCTGTTAACTGAAGTTGAGAGATCACACATTATTTTTATTTATGGATATGTGAGTGAATGAAACTCATGTGGATGCCCACGTAGGCCAGAAGGATGAGGATGTCACAGCCTTGCAGCTGTAGTTACTGCTGGTTCAGAGGTGCCCCATGTGGGTGCTGGGAACTGAACTCAAGGTCCCGTGGAAGAGCAGCAGTGCTTTAACTGCTGAGCCCTCTGTCCAGTCCTGAAAGATAATTCCTAAGCCTTACGTCAGATATTAAAATTTCCCAAACAAAAACAAACAAACAAAAGGCTGGGCGGTGGTCGGGCACACCTTTAATCCCAGGACTTGGGAGGCAGAGGCAGGCTGATCTCTGGGAGTTCGAGGCCAGCCTGGTCTACAAGAGCTAGTTCCGGGATGGGCACCAAAGCTACAGAGAAACCCTGTCTCAAAAAACAAACAAAAAACCAACAAACAAACAAAAAAAAAATCAAACAAATAAAATTTCCTGAAGCCTTCAATCCAGCCTTTACCTCAAGGCCTTGATGCATTCTTATTGAGACACGATTAAGCATTGCTGCTACGATGAAGAATTAGATTTAGATAACAGAAGGTTCTAGACATACACTCAAATTTAGATTAATGGCTCAGAACCTGGACTACCCATCAGAATCACCCAGGATTTTTAAAATGATCATACTAGGGCCACAATTAAACCAAAATGTCAGTAGAGACCAGGAGTCACCAAGCTGGTGATTTCTGACTCACTGATCTGAAACTATGAACTTGTATTCAAAGCCCAGGTCGATTCCAATGCAAAAGCTTCAACACTATATGTAGTAGGCAGTCCTCCAGAGGAACTTTTTGGAGATTAGAAACAAAATAAAATATTTCAGCAAGTGATCACAAATGAAATCTCTTTTACTTAAAACACTAATTTCCTCAGCTTAAGATAATAATGTTAATTGATATTTAGAATATTCACTTCAGCACCAATGGCAGAGTAATAAGAGCGTTTTCAAAAGGGACCCTGGGAATCCAGAAAGACAAAGTGCCCACAGATTTACACAAAAATATATCAAATCGATGTTTGAACTGTATTAACCAATAAACACTGTATTAGCTTTTGATTATAAAATAATCTATTCTCAGCAATCAAAATTTATAAGATATAACTATGGAGAAAAATAAATTTCTAAAAGTCATTCTTGACTTATCTTTAATATCTAACTAAAGGTGATGGACTAAGAAATTGGTTTCAGTACAGGATTTAACATCACATATTTAATCATTATAAAACCCAGTAGTTTAACTAGGAAGAACAGGACAGAGTGAAGAATAAAGCATTTTATAGTAAGAAATTGCAAGTTTAAACTAACATACAGTGCATGTATAAATCAACATACACAAATACATGTATGTCTGCATGCATTCAAACATATCATAGAAGAGAATCCTAAATTTTTCCTGTTATTTAGGTTTTGTGGGCCAATATGAATGATTTCTGTCATATCTTTGTCTTAGTATTTTGTTTTGTTTATAACTGTTTAAAAAAATCCTGTATCTAGAACTTTACAAAAATTTGCTCACAGATGGAATTTAGCTTGTTTATCAAGGTTAAATTTAGACTTATCAAAGCACTTGACAGAAAAATTAAAACATTACTTTTGGATGTTGTTTAAGGTACTCTATTGCTTTCATGAAGTCATTTTTTTCCACTTCTTTTGTGTTAGGGTGTTCAAGTCCTTCTGTTGTAAGATCATTGGGTTCTGGTATTTTCATGTTGTTTTTCAGATTGTTGGGTGAATTCTTGCCTAGGTGTTGGAATTAGGAGCGGCGGCAGGGCTGCGTCCCCGGCACCCGGCCGCCCGCATGGCTAGCTTATGCCCAGAAATAATTACACGGAAACTGTATTCTTTCAAACACTGCCTGGCCCGGATAGTTCCAGTTCCTTATGGCTAGCTCTTACATATTGTTCTAACCCATTTCTAATATTCTGTGTAGCCCACGAGCTGGCTTACCAGGGAGGATCTTAACCTGCGTCTGTCTGGAGCGGGAGAACCATGGCGACTCCTCACACAGCTTCTTTTTCCCAGCATTCTCCTCTGTCTACTCCGCCTACCTAATTTTCTATCCAATAAAATGGGCCAAGGCAGTTTCTTTATTAATAAGAAATCACTCCCACATCATTTCCCCTTTTTCTGTTTAAACAAAAAAGAAAGGCTTTAACTTTAACATAGTAAAATTACATATAACAAAACAGTTATCAAGTAAGAATTACAGTTACAATATTTATATCTATTTTATCTCTTATCATAACTAAGGAAAACTATAACTAACCATTCTTCAACTCCATCAAAGACTCCAGAAGGATATAATATTACCTATCAAACAAGAAATAAGAAAACTCTAGAAATGACAGAGACATCTCGCTGCCTGGACAGTCACCCAAAGTTCCTCTGTACCGTTGGGGCATCCATCTTCGGCCTACAGGCCCATAGTATCCAGCAGACATTCTCATCAAGCAAGAAATTCCAAAGACAGTTCAGTCACTTTTTGCTGTGTCCTGCAGAATGTCTCACAGACTCTTTCATGAAGCAGGAACCCCAAAAGGTCATCTCACCTTTAGGCAAGTTCAGCAGTCCTCTCTCTGCGGGTTCTCTGTGTCCAGTTTATGCAACAGTCCAGGCAAGAGCAGTTTCTTGCCCAAATGGCTATCAAACTCCATAAGGATTCTCTTCGATGCCCATCTTCCTCTTGAAATAGATTGGTGCTGCCAGGAGCAAATGTGTCTCATTGTCATGAAAAACCCTAAGTTATTAAAATATCTTAAATGCCATATTCTGCAGCCTTTGAAAGATATGAAGAATGCCTATCTAACTAAAATATCTCTCTATATATCTAGAAAATCTAACTAACATGACTACAAGCTTAAGTATTAGCGATGATTATCCATTAACAACCTATATTTCCTAATTATACATTACATTTTTAAATGAACTACACAATCACAATACCTTAATCAAGATCAAAAATACATATACATATAACAAAATTGACCATAAAATCCATACCAATGCAAATTATTCATATCTATATCATATCCCCCTTTAAATGTAAAAGAACATTTATAAACAATATTTGGGAACATGGGCGTAGTTTTTTCTCTACAAACTGCTTCCTGCTGAATAGGGGCGTCGTTAATTAGGTTGTTCATGATATAACCTGTATGCTAGTTTCATCTCAGTTGGCAATTGAGCGAAGCAATTTTTTGAGGGTATTCACAGCAACCTTTCAGGAGGGCGTGGTCTATCATACCAAATCGGAATAGATGCAATCCACAGGGTCTCATCCTCTGCAAAAACAAAAGAAGACCCTCTCCAAAGCATCATATCCTTAGACCCAAATTCTGAAATCATAATACCCTTATATCCATTTTGGTTTAGCTTGGCAGCCCATGTAATGAAATGTCTCTCTGTACTTAGCTCCTTCACAGTCAAAAATTTTAAAGAAAACACAATGTACATAATCCAGACTCTCTGTGAATTTTCCATTTTTACGTGGCTTATATTTACTTTATTTCTCTTAATCTATAACTATCTGTACTCTGTCTCTTTAAAGACTTTATCCCCTTTTTTTTAAGGGCATTAACTTTATTCTTTCTCTCTCTATTTTTTTTTTCTCTCTCAAGCCTACGTACACTCATCCAACATTGTGATCCATTTAGTGGTCTGTCTGAATCTGTTTTATTGTGAATCTGTAATTTTTTCACTATCCAGGAGCATTTCTTAAAATGTTAAACAGTTCTTAAAAACTTAAGTTGCACCATGTACAGGTAATACGGTACTGCCTGTGTCCTGCCCAGTCTAAACCTTAACTGCACGGTTTTAAGGTAATTACGGTAGTTCCTGCCTGAGACCAGCACAGATCAGCATGGCAGAGCTGAGCCAAGCTGCTCCTGCCTCAGAGCCATTTGGTGCCCCTGAGCCACCACAGTTCCAGGCACACAGCAGTCCACATTGGAGCCGCAATCAGCAGTTTAACTCTGAGACTGAGTGTGCAGCACAGAAACTCTTTTCATCCAAGTTACAGCCAAATCTGACACGCAGAGCACTGCGCAGTCTGAAAATGCGTCTCTGTATGGCGGCAGGAATCCGCCATGCTCTTCCGCCTGCCTAAGCCTGATTCTGCCGTCTGCCCAGGTGCAGGCGGGAAGCGCTGAGCCATCGGCACAGTCTCAGAGCACTCTCCTCCGATCCCAAGCGGGAACACAAACATCCAGTCCCATAAAAGCCTTGAAATGCTTTAAAGCCAGAGTTCACGCTGGCAGCATAGCTCCAGGAAGCAGCGCTTTAAAATGACGCGGCTTTTTTTTTTTTTTTTTGCTGTTGCTGAATCAGGAATCTCTCTACAGAACGCCACCAACAAAACAGCAAAAATCTGTGTTAAACTCTCTCTCCCTTATTTTTAAGCCTTCTCAGGTTTTTAAGTGGATTTAGCCATCACGTCTGGGCGCCATCTGTTGAAATAGGAGCGGCGGCAGGGCTGCGTCCCCGGCACCCGGCCGCCCGCATGGCTAGCTTATGCCCAGAAATAATTACACGGAAACTGTATTCTTTCAAACACTGCCTGGCCCGGATAGTTCCAGTTCCTTATGGCTAGCTCTTACATATTGTTCTAACCCATTTCTAATATTCTGTGTAGCCCACGAGCTGGCTTACCAGGGAGGATCTTAACCTGCGTCTGTCTGGAGCGGGAGAACCATGGCGACTCCT